ATCTTTTTGTGTTTGAGCCACTTTGCCCGTTGTGGTTCTTAATCGCTCTATAATCGGACTTGAATTTTGGTAGCTTACCTCAGCACTGTTTAGAAGTCAGATATAGCAATGCTGCACCATTATCTCTATCTCTTGGTAAATGCTCTCATTTCTTCTGGTGCCGTCTCAATGAGGAAGTGGAAGTTCAAATGTAATTTGCAGTTTTGCTGGGTGGGTCACCCAGTGACGTATCTCCACTGGTCAGTCTGGTCAGTCAACAGCTGCTGTCTGCATACGTCAAAATCAGCCTCTTGGAGCAGTCCACTAACCACAAACAAGGTGGTCCCATAAACTGAGCTCAGTGGGGTAGAAACCAACAGTGGAGAGGCCCTTAACTGGTGCAGTGTCTGTGGAGTCGAGGAGATGTGCGACAGTGGCAAAGCGCCACATGAGAATGTGCTGCTTATAAGACTGAGTTTGTTGTAGCTCCTCAGACTGAAGAAGTCTTTTGGATAAAAGATGCAACGTTTCAACAAAGAAGACTGTCCAGAGGACTTGACTTAACCTTGTTAGATTTATCTACCTGGATTATTGAGCATGCATCAGGACTTTTAGACTGGAGTTTTTAAGATGGCAGCAATTCACATTGATATTGGTCCTACTCAGAGTGGCTGTTAGCTCACTGACATGATCAGACATTTATTCTGTTTCTCTAAGGCCCTGTTTACACTATGCATTTTTTAAATAAAACTGTAAGTTTTCTGCTGTGGCTCAGCTGTTTGTGTACAATAAAACAGCCCTTGTTCTCTCTGAAACTAAAGGTTCCTTAATCCTGGTCTCAGAGTTAAGGTTTTCTTCATGGGAACCCTTGCAGAGGTGAGGAGTACTTCACAGGTGTGAAATCTCACATACGCACTACAGGCACCTGCAATCCAAAGTTATTCTGCACTAACAACAGTTACAATAACTGAACGTTCCTGTATTCACCAGTTTGGATGTCATAGTGATCATATAGGCACCTCATGCACAATGCATGCATCTGAGCCTGCATCAGGGTTGCCAGATAAACCCAAAGGCTTTTTTTTTTACTCCCTCCTTTTCTGTGAGCATGTTCAACAGACACAACACACTCCTCATCTTACAACCTCCTCTTTCTGAGAGAATACACCCCCACTCAGCACATATGACAGTTTAGGCTAAACTACAATAACTGCAAAGTGACAGTATAATAGAGATTTGTCAACAGTTAATATAATAAATCCTTATAACCTTTACACAGAAACCCACTTTAAAATATCAGAACTATTCCTTTAACTCTGGTGCATGTATTGCAGTGAAAAATACACACCCCATGTGTCTAAGGTGTGGTACTTTCACTTCAAAAGAATGAGACATGAAAGAATGTCGATAATGATGTAATGTTCACCATGGAGTCATGTTCAACACACCCATGGCAATCAGAAGTTACTGTGAATTTTATCTGACTCTGGTAGTGTGAAGCTTTCCCATCATTCCCTAAAGGCTTTTATGTCCCTATCGGTGGTTCACTGGCCTACCAAAGCCTTTAGCTTGGTTGTGTAATGACCACCATTAACATATCAAGATTTGCCGAAGGGTTCTGACTGCTTTTTCCCACCCCCTCTCCTACCACTTACTTTCTATTGCCAAAACCAAGATGGCTCGCTTCAGAACTTCACTTGTACCCTCCAGGGAGCCAAAAACATCAAAGTCTCCAGTCTAATCGTATTTGTTTCTAAAATAGCTGTGGAAATGTGGACATTTATCTGTCTATGTACCTGTGACTAGAATGCAGATTGTTTGTTTTTTTGCCTCACTGGCCATTTTTGTCACCAATACAGTACAATAAAACTGTGGTCTCTTAAGTTCCTGTTCAATTTGACCAATTTTCAAATATAATCTTCAACTATTAAATAGGTTTAATATTACTGCCTATTCTCTTTATTTTAATTTTATTAATACATAAGCTTTTTTATGACTCAAGCCCTGATCTGGGAATGATGACTTGGATGAAATGTGGTACTGAGAGCTCACAGCAGAGTGAATGGCTTTACCTGCAGAAAACCCACTGAAATAAAGAGCAAAGTAAATGCTTTGTGCTTGAGTTTGAATCTCTGAATTTTTACGTTAATGTTTTATTCATCAAGATCATGATTCAGAATTCAAAGGCATGTGTGTTTGTAGAAATTCTGATGAGCAACCAACAAATCAGCATATCACTGTGACCTATCACCAGATGTGCTGTCCCTTTGAAAGTAATTTGTAGACCTCAGTCTCATTGTGCATCAGTGGGTCCTGCCTCAGCTGCATCTGTTAGTGTTTTGTTTGGTGTAGCTCAGAGCATACCCTGTGCTCTTGTGAGTGTTTGTGTCTTTGTGCGTGTTTGCATTTTGTTTTCCAGATGTTCCTCAGAAAAAGGTGGTTGAACACCACAACTGACTATTACACCACCCTTTTACACACAAGGGGTTAGCTGCAGAGAAGAAGATGCAGAGATGCCTGTGAGGCAGAAATGACTCCTTCTGACAGTTCAGTAAAATATTTGTAAACCTGATGTAGGTAATAAAATCAGCAAGAAAATCTAATAAAATTACAACATAAAGGGAGATTTAATAGTCAATAGTACTGGCATACTCTGTAGTTTAAATTGTCATGATATATTTGGAATGTCATTCTTATAGGAAAACAGCATTTTGAAATCCAGTGTTGGTAATTGTGGAGAAGTATAATATTATTTAGATAGCTCTTCCATCATTATAACAATAATAATAATGAATAAATAAATAAAAAATCCTAAGATTTTACTTCTGTCCAGGAACAGGAGAAGTTATGATTTTAACTAAGCTTGAACTCCAGATGCCAACATAGGTTCAGCTCTTGTTCTTTTTTGTTGTTGTTGTTTTTAGCTTTTTGATTGTTTACTAATCTGTCTTACAGTTACAGCATTTTTCACTTGTATAATCAATAATTTCTCATACTTTTGGAGCATTTTAGCACATCATCTTTACAAAGACTCTACTTCCTAAGAAGACTAAAGAAGTTTGGTACGAACACCAGCATCCTCACCAACTTTTATAGCTGCACCATTGAGAGCCTGCTGACAGGCTGCATCACAGGGTGGTATGGGAACTGCACCATTCAGAGCCGGAAAGCCCTATAGAGGGTGGTGCAAACAGCAGAGAACATCACTGGTAGCAGTCTCCACACCATCCAGACATCTACCACAGCTGATGTCTGCATAAAGCATGCAGCATCACTAAGGACCACACCCATCCAGCACAAGGACTCTTCCATCTACTACCCTCAGGCAGACAATACAGGAGTCTGCCATTGCACACGGAAATACTCAGACAGTTATTACCCACAAGCTGTCTGATTACTGCTCTGTGATAAGTAATACTGAACTACTGACAATAACATTGCACCAAGCCACATCTGTGACACCTATGTTTATTGCTGCTGCGCAACAAGTTCTACAGTTCTAGAATTGCGCTGCTCAAGGTGGCTGCATGTTGGAGCAGCTCTGTTACATTCATTCTGAGTTACTGCTTTTGAAAACTTTAATTCCTCTTATTTCTGGATGTATATCACTTTTTTTGCGATGATTATTTCCTCTGGTATTGGATGCTGTGCAGCTGGAAGGATTTTTACTGAAACCTTTTTTACTTTTGGACATTTGTTATGATGCGTAACCATGGCAACAAGTTTATTTTATTTTTATTATTATTTTTTTTTTACAACAAGGAGCATCTGATTAACATCTCAAAAGCTCAAATATCTCATCTACAGCCCCAAACCCCACATGAGTTGAAAAGGACGTGCCATGGACAAATTCCCGTCAACCTGGCGGCAGTGCTCGAAAACCTGACCGCCGACATCCTGGAGCTGGTGAGAAACTCTGCTCGTGAGGAGCTCTGCAGACTGCTAGGAGGAGTGACCATCACTCAGGGAGGAATTCTGTCTGGCATTCGGGCAATCCTGCTGCCCAGGAGGACCGAGCGGCCCGCCGGATCTGACAGCAAGCTGGGTCTGGGTGGACGGATTGATATCTGTGGCCAGATTCTTTGGCTTCACTGCAGGAGATCCTTCCTGCCCACTGCTATCAGCATCTATAACAACTCTTGAATGAAACCAGGATGATGAGCTACGACAACACTTAAATTCCCTCTGGGATTAATAAAGTATTTTTGAATTTGAACGTGGCGTCATCATGTATGTATGTCATATATGCCATATATCATGTATGCCACTACCTTACCATCATAATTCAATTAATCTCAATACTCACTACCTGTGCAATAACCTGTCACACAACCTGTGTAGTTTATGTTAGTTACGTGTAATACATATCATGCATTTTAGCGTAAATTACTACATGTGAAATACTTTATACAACTCCATCCTACTTGCACTGTTATATTCTACTATGTTGTTGTTTACTATATTTATTTTGGACCTTGTAAATATTATATTTCTTTTTCACTTTTTGGTACATTATTTTGTACCCTTATTTTTAGCTTTAGTATTTATTTTTGTTTGTTTATTTGTTTGTAGCGAGTCAAATTGTTCTCATCTTGAATATTTCATTGGACTGTTGACCCTGTGTTAACCTGCTTATGGCAAATAAACAGCACAGCACAGCACAACACAACACAACACAACACAACACAACACAACACAACACAACACAACACAGCACAGCACAGCACAGCACAGCACAGCACAACACTGTAGACATTTAGTTGCTGCTCATCTTGTCAGGCTTGAATTGGAGACGTTATAGCAGGAAATCTTCTCAGTGAAACAGGGGTCTTTCTATATGTGGTGCTGTGTACCACATACTGTAAGTCAAAACATTATCTAGTTTGGTACGTCCTGCAGTTGTTGCTTAATGTCGATCTTATCTCAGTCATTGCTATAAGTTCAGTTCAGTTTTTTTTTTTTTTAATTAATAAAAAAAAATGTATATATATATATTTATTTATCTCTGCCTTTTTCTTCAGATTGAGAACCTGTTGGAACAGTTGAGAGATAAGGAAAAACAGCTCGCTGGACTGAGAGAGAGGGTTCATGGCCTTCAAACGGACTCCAGCAACACAGACACGGCACTGGCAACACTGGAAGAGGCTTTATCAGAAAAGGTACAAAGGGTGGGGTGAAGACAATGCACTAATGCATTTTTAATAATAATAAAATTACTTTTTGAAACTTGAGAGAAAGTGTTTAACGTCAGAATAATAGGGTTTAACGATGTGAGATTTTTAGTTTTTTCCCCATACAGGCAAACCTATCCTTCAGATCTGGCTTCCTCACGATGAGTGCTTTGCTGTATCTCATAGCTTTAATTTATTGACACAAGCTCCTAATTTATAGAACATTGGCCACACTAGCTGCACTAAATGTACAGCTGTACATGTACTAGTTTTGAACCACTCTGGCACGAGTGGGCAGGGAGAGGGTGGGCCCCGGAGGCCATCTTATCAGCAGCAAACTGTTTTTTTTTGTTTTAATGGAAGTGTGCTTTCTGTGGTACTCAGTTTGTTTGGTGGCTCCTCATATTGAAGAAGTCCTTCAGATGAAGGATGAAACGTCTCCAAAAAAAAAAAAGAAAGAAACCATCCAGATGACCTCTGAATATTGTTGGATTTTTACCTGGATTAATGAGCATGAACTTTGGTGTGCAAGATGCGGTTCTGTCTGAAGAGGCGGTGGCAGTAAGGAGATCCAATACTGACAGAGGATTAGTACAGTGCTGAATGTAGGGAGGGAATGATCTATAAGAGAGTAGAAGGGTGTACAAGTTTGGAAGGGACGACAAATGGAATGATGGAAAACAACATAGGAGACACAGGCTTTATGTAGGGATGTAATTAATGGAGGGAGAGGTTGAGGTATGTAAAGGGTGGAGGGAGGGTAAAAAATAATGAGTTTCTACAAAGACAATGGAAACAGAGCTGGTCAGAAAAAAAAAATTCAACGCAGATTTAATGTGTTAAGTATAATTTTGTTTATGTGTATCTTTCTGCTGTAGATAATAACAGGAAACTAGGAACTTAGGATTTTTGGTATGGTATGGTATATAGTTTATTCATTTTAAAAAAGTACAAAACAATTCCATAACAATATAAAAAAAGATACAAAAGATTTAAAATGAAAGGCAGCAGAAAGAAGAAAAAATCTTATTATATCTGCCCCTTTTTACAAACAATTATTTCAGACATAATAATCTTCAAGTAACAGTACAAAATGAATAATTTTCTAATTTATCTAATTCTAATACAAAACACACACTAAGCTACTTCATATATACTTTTTTAACAATTCAGTTTTGATTTTTTTCTTAAATGTGCACATTGACTTGGCATTTTTCACATCACTCTCTAGACCATTCCACAATCCAACTCCTTGGATTGAGGTAGACCTTCCCTTCAGACTAGTTCTGAATTTTGGTTTGACAAATATCTCTATCCTATCTCTATTTTTAACTTCATATTGAAAATAAAACAAGAACAACGTTGTTGCCTGCCAACTTCCATGTCAAATATTAAACTACAATCAACTTATGTTGATAAATAACAAAGTCAGCACTACTTTGGTCAAGTTTTTATCTCATGATGATGAATGTTATTATTGTAAGTAAAAGTTCTCAGGTTTTACCCTCTCGTGTTGTTCCCATTTCTGACAGAATTGAGGTATTATATTGTTTTAACACGCATTTTATATCTTCAGGTTCTTTGTTTGACTCTATGGTTTCTGTTTCTTCAAAACCCTGTATAGATCTTCCAATATACACAAGTCTGCCATTTAACTTTTTACACTTCTCCTTCCAGGAAGTTCAAAAAGGCCTTAAAGGTTTAGATCATAGAAAATCTTCTGGTCCTGATTTAATTGAAGCATATTTTTTAAATTGACAGCTGATTTTTTTTAGCTGAGCCTCTTGCATTCCTTTTTAATCTTCCAGTGAAAAAGAATGAAACTCCCGTTGTATGGAAGACAGCTTTTATTCTGAACTTATTAAAGGGCGGTGAGCCAACAATGTTAAATAACTATTGACCAATACCATCTATCAGTTTTGCATAAAATTCTTGAAGGTCTTGTGATTGAGCAATTACCCGTAAGCATTTTTACATTTTAATACTATTTTAGCAGAATATCTGTCAGACTTTAGAAAAAAAATCATAGCACAATTACACCTGCATTTCATGTTGTAAACTACATTCTTGTGGCGCTTGATAAGAAACAACACTGTGCATCACTCTTTATAGATTTCTCTTTATATATTTGTCTAGACACTTTAATGTTTCTGTCTGCACCTGACCTGTTTTAGAACTTAATTTCTGGTATTTTTATATTCTCTGTTATTTTTATATTCTCTCTTATTTTTGATATCTTGTGTTATTCTTTTGTACTGAAACGCTGGCACAACAATTTCCTGCAAAACGTCTTCTGTTACAAATAATGTCCAGTTGTTTTTGTATTGAACGTTTTTTGAATTTTATCATGTCCTGGATGACTGAGAATCTTCACCAGCATCTTCCTGTGAGATCAATAAAGTTCTATCTTATCTTATCTTATCTTATCTTATCTTATCTTAAATCATCTTATCTTATCATCTTATTTTTTTCTTATCTTAAATCATTTGAAACAGTTGAATATGAAATTTCAAAATTTGGACTTCTGCATTCTGAGCGTTCAGAAAAACCATCTTGGTTGCTTGGTTCACAAATTACCTCAACAACAGAACTTGAATCAGGAGCTAATGGGTAGTTAACCAGTACTTACTGGGGAACACACAGCCAAGCATTATTAGGGGTTGAAACGTTTCGCCTTCGGTCTGGAAGGCTTCATCAGTCAAGGAAACACACAACAAAACGTTTCAGCACAAAAAAAAAAAAAGAATCTGTCCAGATGACCTGACTGAAAAATGTTGGATTGTATACCTGGATTATTGAGCATGGACTTTGTTGTTTACTCATTTGCTCCTGATGTATTTCTCTTTGGTTTCCATGTTAACTATCCATTAGTTCCTGATAAGTTCCTCTTAGTTTCCCAGGTAACTAACCAGTAGTCCCCTAATAAGGCTTTGCTGTGTGTTCCCCAATAAGTACTGGTTAACAACTCATTAGCACCTGATTCATTCCTCTTTGGTTTCCTTGGTAACTATCCATTGGTTCCTGATTAGTTCCTCTTAGTTTCCCAGGTAACTAACCAGTAGTCCCCTAATAAGGCTTGGCATTGTGTTCCCCAGTAAGTACTGGTTAACTACCCATTAGTTCCTGATTTGTTCCTGTTTTGTTCCTGAGGCGTTCCCTAGTAGTTAATCCAATTTTGTGTACCTTATTGTAAAGTGTTTCCAATTTTTGCATTGTACGTGCAATGTCTGCATAGCTTTAGCAAATGCTCAACAATCAGTGTGACCATCTGCTGAGTTATGAGGCCCAGATGATGTAAAGGTTTTCATTTGTATCTGTCCATGAAATTACACAAGGTTTTTTCCTCAGGTTGTTTTTGTGCAGCCCAAGATTGTGCGAGCCCAATAACACATGTGCAATGAGAAAACTCCTATTTACCATTTATCAAAGATAAAATAATCAAAGAAGATTGCAAGCATGACAACACATAGAACAAGAAGAAGAAGAAGGCTTCTCTTTTTCCACTCAGACAGTTGACAAACAGCATATTATCACCACCTTGTGAACTTGGCTGTAGACATTTAAGTTGAACACCATGATGCAGTCGACCCAAAAGCAGTTGGAATGCAAGCTTGCACCCGTCAACAGCCTTTCACACAAGCCTTTAGAGAGAGTTCTCAGTTGCAGAGAGGAGATAGTTGATTCTGTTTTTACTGTTTCACTGCCAGAATGGTCCAGGTACACAATCCTTTCAGAAAATCTGTTCCAAGGAGTTTAAAGAAATCAACAGACTATTCTGACAGTCAAATATTTTGAGTGCAGGGTTTACGATAATGAAGTCTTGTTGTGGTCAACCACACTAACAGTTGCTTTTTATAACAAGTACAACAAACAGTGCTGCATGTTTCAGTTTGCATTACTGCAGACAATGACGATTTCCATGCTGGAGAGCTGCCTTCAGATTCGATGTGATGCAAATAGACCTACGCCACATGGATGCATGGATGTTGGGATGGGAAGGTGTTATCTGAAATAATCATTCTGGTGTTTTTCTGGTAACAGATCTCTATAAAACTTTGCCTTAACGTTACAGAGCCAAGTTTTACTGAGTGAAACCTGAATAATTTGACTTTAGACAAGAACCTGGACTACTTATGCAAATATATCAATTTATTTATTTATTTTTTAATAAAACATCTTTGTGTGAGTTAGTTCACTGTGGTGAACTCTGAGGAATGGAGCAGCCAAAAGAAGAAAAAGAAAGAAAAAAAAGTTTAAAAGATATTTAAACTACTAATATAGATATAGTGCCTTTACAGCCAACCAAGATACTTGCAGCACTTGACAGCAAAATCTGTGTCCTCACTTACCCATCGATACACACGTTCACACAGCACTCTGCAACATCACTACAAAGCTAATCTGAATGTTTCATTGTATAGAGCCTTATCTGTGCTTTAGATCACATTCATACACCCGTGGGGAACATCGAAGGATGGAATTTATGAGTTTAATGCCTTGCCAAAAAGCACTTCAACAAGTGACAGCATAAGAATCAAACCTTTGGCTTTCTCATTGAAGAATGACTGCTTTAACCACAGCCACCCAATTACTCTTGCGCTTTCTAATGAAGACTTGATTGAACTTGGGGTTGATGTGATGTTATACTGTCCTATCTTTGAAAAAACATAAACTTTTAAACCTCAATCTGACTCGCTTGATGTAAGCAAGACCTAATTTTTCTTAGCTATGTTGCATGTTTTTTATGCAGTCTACAAAGATGATTCTTAAATTATAGGCATTTTTAAAAATTAAACATTTAGTTTGCAAACTCAAAGACAAATGCTGGTTTAAATTTTATTGGCAAAAAGTAAGTGCGGTAGAAGAGATCCCAGATGAGGCAGATGTTAACATCCATCTTTAGAGTGCGCTTGCCAGTGGAGGCTTCATTTTTATTTTTATTTCTTTACTTTTCCTGACTGGCACTCGCAGTAAAAATGTTCATATTTATGTATTTGGAGATCTTGATGGATGTTTTCATTAGTCATGTTTTGCATGTAACCCAGTCCATTAAAACTGATAACGAAAAAAAAAAAACTTGTTACAAAACTTATCAAGTGAACTTACACTCAATCTATATTGTATTTTGAAAATATTAATCTTCAACAAGACAGTTAGATCCATATAAGAGTAGTTAAATCTCAGAAAAAATATAAATTTGATCTCTGGTTTAAACTGGAAAATTAAATGATCTCTGTAACAATAAGATGCAAGATTTTTTTTTTTCTTCAGATTTTAAGTACCGGAAGTCTTGGAGCTTACCATAAGCTTACCATATTTTTCAGACTATAAGGCGCACCAGATTATAAGGTGCATTAAATGAAACAAAACAGTCAGATAAGTCAAATTTTATTCAGTTCATTCACAATAAGTGATAAATGGTAAACGGACTACTTATAAAGCACCTTTCTATCTTATCAAGACACTCAAGGAGCTTTACATTACAAGCTGTGCCCTCATTTACCCATTCATAGTGTTGTAGTCAAGACCACCTAACCCGAGACCAAGTCAAGACCAAGACCAGCTTGTGTACCGAGACAAGACCAAGACTTTTGGGGCCCCAGACCAAGTCAAGACCAAGACCTCAAGTCTTGGATTCAATCTTTTCACAGATTTTCCGTACCGGCTTACTTTCACCCCTGGTTGCGACATTACGTTCTATTGTCTGTATTGTTCCGTTGGTACAGAACCACACGTGAGTGAAAGGGAGTGGGCGTGACAGCGGTAACAAAAACACGTATTTAGCAACGAGTCACGTTATCGCTTGGATTTGAATCAGTACGTTTTGCATCCAATAAAAACAAGGATGTTGACAAATAAACTGGACAATATTCTGGCAATTTAGTGATAGTTCCACAGTTGTGGTCTTGACTGGTTTTGAAATAAAAACCAGAGTCCTCAATGTCTGAGACCGAGACAAGAACGAGATCAAATGCGGTTGAGTCCAAAACAAGACCAAGACCATCAAAAAGTGCTCTTGAGACAAGATCAAGACCGGTCTCGAGTACTACAACACTACCCATTCATACAGCACTCTATATCTTTATTCTCTACAAAGCTAATTGAACAAATAATTCTAAAGAGACTAATTGGTGCTTTATCACATTCAAACACCGATGGGACACACATCAGAGGCGGTGAGGGGTTCAGTGTCTTGCCCAGGGACACTTCGGCATGTGACTGGTGGATTCGAACCCTCAACTCTTGAATTGGAGAATGACTGCTCTAACCACTCAGCCACAGTCGCCCGATTTTATGTGGTACATCTGAACAATGCTGACAGATGTACAGTACCATATAAAATCGGTTCAAGGTCAGTAAGCACAACCAGAATTAATACATAAGGCACACAGGATTATAAGGCTCACTGTCGATTTTTGAAAAAAATTAAAGGATTTTATGTGCACCTTATAGTCCGAAAAATACAGTAAGCTATTCTGTGATAAAATTTATGTTTTTACTACTGGATTACTCTGGTTTATATTGATTCTTTGTAATGTATACAGTTTTATAAAGTTAAACTACAAGAAAACGATCAGTGAAATCCAAAATCATTAGCGCTGCGTTCACAGAAGTATGTTTGGCAATAGATTCGACGTTGGCTAACTTGTTTTGCACTGTATAGATGTTTTCACTTACAGTGGTCTTTTATCACCTAAAATTTGTTTGCTTTGCCGATAGACTTTGAAACGAAAAGCCTTACGGCACAAATAACTGTAAATCCCTTCTCTGCATTAGACCATCTGTTTACCCAGAAACCACTTCTGATGCAGTCGACATACAATTTAGCTGTGATGAGGAGAATGTTGGCAAGCTTTTTAGATTTTGTGGTCAGCGCAGGGTGTGTGTAATGTGTTTACAAGGGTGAGAGTGTGTGTTGCTAATCACAAACTCTGTCACAAAGCTGCTCTTGGAGCCAGTCGCTGGCCACAGCGCTGTGGTTCTAATTAACAGGCGGGGGCATTGTGTTTATGCTCTTTCGAGTATGTGTGTTTACTGTGTGTGTCTGTCTGCGAGGTTATATTTGCTGTGGTTTTTGTATATGGTTCTCATTGAGGTGTCTGATAGAGGCTGGCTTTATTATTATTACATTCTGTTCTCTTTCTCTGAGATTTATCCTAATTTGGGGGGAACACCCAGAACTTGTTAGCCAAGTGGTCTTTCTTGCCTGCTTTGCGGGGCCGTGCCAAGCCTTGTTAGTGAATGTTTTTGTCCAGTAATCTCAAGATTTAAACCTGCCAATCATGCAGCGGTGCCACATCACAAGGCCACTGCTGCACTGAAATCTGAGCCTAAATAAACACCTGAATAAATACCTTAGTAATCACTTCAGTCCTCATCTAAATGCCCCCCCCCCCCCAAACACACACACACACACCAGGTTAATTGGTAAGCGATGTGAAGCTGTTAGTTGTCTATAGACCTGTCCAGTTTATTCACAATCAATTTGTGTGTGTCTCTCAACATTTTTCTTCCTTTATCCTCCTCCCTGAGTTGTACTTGGCTCTGATCTCCTCACATGGCTTCTATTATTTGAGCTAGTATTATTTATGATTTGCATTTTGTCATTGTCTTTCGCTGCACTTTGCAAAGATCTCTGCTGATCTTTTTCAGTCAGGTGAACAGTTTCAGTGATGATATAGAATAATTAAAACAAAGTCCATGCTCAATAATCCAGGTATAAAATCGAAAATAATAGAAAATAAAAGAATTGTTTTTCACAGCCCAAACGATAGTGCAAAACTAAATCTTGGAGATATATATTCCAAATCTTGTTACCAAGTTTTAATGCAGAATGTAAAATATCTGTACTCACATCAACTGTGATCTCTCATTCTCAGGAACGAGTGATAGAGAACCTCCGGGAGCAAAAGGAACGAGAAGACAGGGTTCGTTTTGAAGAGCTGGAGCAGATGAGGAAAGAGAACCAGGAATTAAGGGACAAACTGGCAGCTCTGCAACCCCCAAAACCATTACAAAGCCAGGTCACTAACCCCATCACAACCCAGAAATCTGATGGAGAGGTCAGTATAAACTGATTTTGGTTTAATACAGATTTAGTAATGTGTATATTATTCATGCATTATATTATTAATATAGCTTATGTTGAGTACTTTTGAAAAATCACAACAAATTGTACATTTAGCTTAAAATATCTAAATTAAGTTTATTTCAAAGTGTATTTTTTACGTGCACACTGTGCATGTAAAAAAAAAAAAAACAACAACTTGCTAACTCAGTGCGTGTGTAGACTGCAGTCATCAAAGCTTTGCATTCAGTGAACTCTGCAGGGTTTGGAGTCCTTTTGTACCCTGTATTTTACATAGCTTACATCTACAGTAACAGTAATTGCACTTTTTTTTTACCTCCCTGGGAGCATTCATAATATTAACAATTCCCTAGTAAAAAAAGTCTGCCTGCACTGTCTCAGAAACTGAAGGGATGAATTACAAGCGAGTGATTTACAGACGTCTAAGATCCTTCTTTTCCCATTTTACATCCAAGGCTGCCTTTTCTCTCTCGTTTTCCCCCCCAAACTTACAAGCCAGCACAGACTCTGGACCTGCCAGAATTTACGAGACTGTTTTCTTTTACAGCCATAAAAAATGTACACACAGCTCATTTCTGTGAAATGATATCTTGTTGGATATTGCTGTAGCACCACATGAAAGCAGCAGCAGCTTAGTTACTCTGCAGCAAACAAATTCACACTCTGACAGAAGTGTTGCCATAATTTGACTGTTATGCATGCTCTGCAGCAATCAGACCTGCTCTGTAAACGTACAGATCTACAAAAAAGCAGATGATGTTTGTATATGTGAGTGGTTCTCTCTTTGCCTGTGCACGCCTGGCGGCACAAAAACAGCTGTTGATCTGCAAGTGCATGTTTTTCTGTTGATGCGTTCAAGTGGAGAGGTGAGTTTGATCTTTGTGTTGCAGGAGCCAGAGAGCACCTCTTAAATGAAAACACTGGCAGCCATGTTGCTTGAAGGTTGATTCTACTATTGAAGCCACAAGATATAGCTTAGAGATCATTTCTGAAAACAACAGTCAATGTGAGAGTTGTCTCGCTTAAAGTTACAAATGTTTTAAGACCAGATGGACTCGGATACTTCTTCACTGCTACTTTTTAAGGCCTTGCCATTCCCACACAGAGCTTAATTTGTAAACCGATCAACGCCGGAATGCAAATAGTGGGCCGACTGGGGGTGGGGGGGATGTGGGGGTGTCTGGGGGTCCTCCCCAAGAAAATTTAGAATAAAGTAGATGCAATTTCCTGCATTTTGGTGCATTTTAACGGGTTGTTAAATGTCTATGTTTACCCACATTTGTAAACACTCCGCTTCTGTTAAGCACCCCCCCCACCCATTACTTGATGGTTCCGAGCCGTATTTTCTCAGCTGAATTCACTATCCGACTCCACATGTAAAGCCTCCAGGCACTCACCCCCACCACTCTTTTAGGGGCTGAGATTATTTAAGGGTAGAGACGGAAATGCTTACTTGAAGAGGCAGCTCGTGTGATATTAAGAAGCTCATAAGTGGCTGTTGTGTTTAAAATTAGTGTTTATATACTGTACATGTTTTTTTTTTTCTTCAGTTTACATATCCAATATAAGTTTTATTTGTTCATAACTTTATTATTAGTAAGCCCGAGAGTTACTGGATCCAAACAAACATTTACCGGAACACACCCTGTCAAAATAAGAAAGTTCCTGCATCCTGTTCTGGCAGGATCCGGCTCAAATTAAGCCCTGACCCCACACCTTTACACACAACATTAGTAGGATTGAGAGTGTAGATACCAACACTCACAGCTAATTCATCTTGACCATGATGCTTATAAAGGCATTAAACGCTGAGGACAGATTCTGACTTTTAGTACTGGTAGTTAACAATCAAAGAAACAAAATAACACTTGAACATATATATGAACAATAACTTTCAACATATCCTGATGCATGCTCAATAATCCAGGTAGAAAAATCCAAAAAAGTTAAATCTGGTCCTCTGGACATTCCAAAAAAACCCAAAAAAACAAATCTTTGGTTTTTTTTTGAATGTCCAGAGGACCAGATTTAACTTTTTTGGAAATAACTTTCAACGTTCACACTTAACGCAATCAGTAAAGACTTGGATGTTACTGCTTTCAATGATGTTGTTTTACATTATCAGAATAAATCACTTGTTTATTTTTGCTTTGATGAAAAGGAGAACAGTAGTAAAGTTTGCACATGTTATCAAATTATTCAATCTATATGAATGTTCTTAAGAGTCGATCATAGGACAAACTAAAGAAAGTTGCATTGGTGTCAGACAGTTTGCTCTCTGTACTCAGACAGTTGGTTTTGGTTTTACAGTAGCTCTGTGGTCAGTGCCGCAGTCTTGTAATCCTGAGACTGCAGGTTCGAGCCCAGGTCGCATCAGGAAGCACATCTGGAATAAGACTATTACCAAATCTTTAATGTGAGTTTGCTCGCTGTGGTGACCTTTGCAGAAGGGAGCAGCTGAAAGAACTGATGGTTTGTTTGAAATTATTGGTGTTGTTTTTTTTGTCTCCTGACAGCTAAACATGTGCGGCTTGCTTTTTACTGCAGACCAAAGTTTAAAAGTTTACTCTTCATAGTCTTTCTTTTTATTTGCTTTCATTTGTTTTCCTTCGGTCACAGATGTTCCTGCCCAGTTTAAATAATTTATTACCTGCAATAATTCCTTTAAAAGGAAGTGATGACACATAAACCAAAAACCATCATATACAATGTTTTTCAGCATTTATTTTGAAAAACACTGAACAGTTGTCAAATTTCAGGTGAAACTCAAACAAATGTGGTTCAGTCATTTTATGTTTGCCACTTCAAAAACCTTATTAACCCAAATTTCTTTGTACTCAGGTGCAATAACAATACAGATCTATCCTATTCTATATTGTATTCTTATTTTGAACTGATTTGTTATTTAATATTTTATTATTTGAAATAACTTGGATGTTTACAGGTTTAACCGGTTTAGTTTTTCAAAAGCACACCACGATACAGTTTTTACATCTGAAAAAAACCCACTTTGCTACTTTTATTAGTTCATTGTTCAACTGTTGGATAACAAAACAACTACACATCTTTTGATTGTGTGCCATTATATATAAACAGCTAATCTGGTATTGTGCAAAAGTGTTTTATCAAAATGCTTTTGAATGAAAAGAAAAAAATGTGGACTAAAACGAAAGCATTGCACACAGTTTGAGATTACCGGTAGTATCTTTTTAGTGCAGCCGTTGCTGCTTTGCAGGTAGTTTAAAAAAGTTTTCACATCCAAGAAAATCAAGTCAAGTCGAGTCAGATTTATTTATAGAGCACATTTAAAACAGAAACTGTTACCAAAGTGCTTAACAAAAATATCACAACATCAAATAAAAAGTAGCAAGATATATTTACAGCACATGGAATAAAAAATATAAAAACTGAAAACATAATTAGAAACAATGAAATACTAAATCAGATCACATTGTGTCAAAAGTCATGGAAATAGTAACAAAAAGCATAAACTCAGTCAGAAAGAATGAAATACTAAATCAGATCCGAGGAACTTGTGTTAAATAGGAATAATAACAAAAGCATAAACAAAATCAGCATCAATGAAAAACTAAATCTAAATCCAATCAAAGTAGGGAAGATAAAAAAAGAATCCAAAGTACAATATTTAAACAATACCACGATGTCTAAATTATTTTTATATAACTGTTATATACAATTTTCCCACAAGACCTAGTAAGAAAATTTTATTTTGTATCTTTGTCTACAGACTCCATATGAAGTTATTATGGTTTGATAATGAATGATTATGAAAGGACTGAAACATGAGTTTAGATGAGGTTTGGCTTGTTGCAGATCTTAGACGGCACGGATCTGATTTGCCTCCTACAGTTTGTGTTACACTCAGCGTGTCTACTCTCTACATCTACAGATGTTTTCATTATTGACTCAGACAAGCCAGCGGTGCTTTTTTTTTCTTTACCTCATTGCTTTGTTGACTACACTACATCCTTTTCCGGTTTCCATAAAACAGGATGTGTTGATCTTAAGTTTATTAAAGGACTTCTGAAACTAAACATCAGCACTTCAAAGGAGAAAACAGCTCAGAGAAGAAAGTGATCTTTTTATAAAGGGTTGGGAAAAATCAGCTCCTTAGCCTAAATGTTCCCCATTATTTAAAATACAATTTATTTTTTAACCATGCAAATATCCTATGATCATAACATTTCATAGTTATGTTCCTTTAAAAGAAGTACATAGTCAGCACACACTTTGCTGACTACGTTTTTAAAATATTTTGAAAAATTTACACTCGAGATTTGCACTAATGCTAACAATTTTGAAATACACTTTAAATCTAACTGTACCTGGGTGACTTTTTCCCCATTATGATGTATCATAAATTCCTGTTGGACCTGCGGTCCTGTCCTCTGCTTTCTTCTTGCTTGCTTTATTCATAAAAAAAAAAAAAAAACATATTTCAACTTACACCCAATGCACTTAGAGTTGCCTTAATGTTTAAAGGTGCAGTGTGGAGGTGATATAGTGAGGACAAGGTAAATAATTATTAATATCCTTTATTCATTTTTGTTTGCTTTATCACAAAACTTAATTGCCTTTACCGTTGTAACGGTTTATTTTTTTAAACAAAGATGAGTAAACAGATTTACGCACACAATATCAACTGTATGCTTTTAAGTGTTTGCAAAGCTGCTTGCATCTGCTGCTCATGTGTGAAAGACAAGTAGAGAAGTGTTTGAGTCTACAGTAACAAGAGCTGCGGCTCCGTTCAGGAAGGTCTGTCAGTCAGTCACTTGATCGTCGAGCGGTCAGAACAACATATGCAGATGAAGAATGCTTTAGCATCATAAGCAGATCCAATATACACACATTGTAACATTTTTCTTTCACTTATATTTGATCAAAGAAGTGTAAACACCTGAAGTGGACCAGTCCCAGTGGCTCTCTGGAACCAGTGTTGCCAGGTGTACGATAATTATCGTATTTGTATGACAATTTTGCCCTCTGTACGATGTACGATCAGTAATTCCAAAAAAAGGCTAAATATATGATAATTTGACCATTCCGTGAATGTGTGGTTGTAATCGGTTGTCATCAGCCTCTCGCAACTGTCTGTCGGAGTTTTTTTGTGAACCCTAAAGGCATCTGTGGCCGCAAACAGATGCACGATTGGCTGGAAATTCCAGTCAATCGTGCTTTTCTAAATGTGACCTACGAGTGACGTGTGTGCGTTAGCATGAGAACAACGGCCATGATTGGCTGAATAGTCCACTGCGCCCGCCCCATGAGTGAGGAAAAGAAAAAAAAGAAAAGAAGAAGAAGCAGAGCTGGTCTGGAAGCGGACCCATCACTACTATAGTGCATTAATAGATTTGTTATTTTGGTTATGACGGGTGTACGATAATTTCCCATAAAATACGATAATTTTATGTCTCTAGTACAATAATCCTACATTTCTCACCTGGCAACACTGTCTGGAACTGGGAGTCGTTAATCCTTAGTCTCTGTAGTTTGGGAAAGCACATGTCGTTTTTCAGTGAAGTAAAAGAATTGGCTAAATTAGGTTAGGGTAAATTTATAATTATTATATACAACTGTTGTATGCAAATGTATGTGAGAACCCGAGTTTGTCTCAAGTTCTTTCTTTAAATTCTTGTGTTTATGTTCCTGTGAGTCCTGTCTTCTCCAGTGTATATTTTTCCTTTATGTGCCAGCTCCTTGCTTCACCTGCTCCCAATCCCAATCAACCCAGGTGTTTGTCATTATGTCTCATTAGGGTCCCTTTAAATTCAGTGTCTTTATGTTTTCTGCTTGTCCGTGCATTGCGCTTCCCATAACCGTTCACGCTTTGCGTCTCCTCGTGATCTCTATTCTCGTAAGTTTTGCTGCCACGTCAGCCTTTTTGTTTTAGCTTGTTAATTCATTAGTTTCTTTACTTTTACTCCCTGAGCTCCCCGTGTCTCTCTGCACTTGGGTTTACAATACTCAGATCAAGATAATGCCACATTTAAGCCAGTGGTGTAGTCTGTGATACGCGGGCATACAGAGTATATCAAAGGTTAAGAATTTCAATATACCCATTTAAATTAGGCACGTGCCAATGATATGTTAAATGGCAGTTAAACACTTCCGTAACAATCTATTGGTATGTGCTTGTTTATTACAGTCACTTATTCAGCAAATTATTGTATAATTGATACTTCTGTACTTACTACTTAATACTTGAATATGTTTTGCTTTGACACTGTGTTATAAATTCTATAACATGTTTTTAATACAAAGGCAACTGCTGTACAAAGTTTGTTGTACAAAGTTTGTTATACATTTATTCAAGTATAAGCATCAGAGAAATTTGGAAATGTTCCGTATGCTTAAAAATCTAAATAAATTGACAGTTACATTGTACTAACCAGTATACTTTGGTTTCTAAGCACAGTATACGAACTGTAAAGTTAATTTTACTATGGACATTAGACATTCACGCTCCGTGGCTTCAACGGTGTCCAACGTCCAAAATAAAACCAACTTTGCCGCGGTATAAAGCTTAAGTTAAACAGCAGAACTTGAGCTACCGGGTGATTCATGTTTTGCAGTTTGCATTAGCTTTTAGTGAAGAAAGGCTGTAATGTATCAGTAATAAAATAATAACATACATTACAGTGCACATTTTAATGTCCTTTATGTATGTAATTTTAGACTCCTAATTGTTTTATTGATGAAAATACCAATATTTTTTACATTTTAAAATTGTTTGCACTTAAATAAATCGTTTTGGGATGGAAAACCAAAAGGTCAGACAAAGAAAAGTTTTTTTTCTCGAGTGTTATTGTTTGGGGTTACTTGAGGAAATGAGTGGAAGTTAAGGTTATGTCTTCTGAAGTGACTGAAAAGCAACTTTGTGTGTATAAGTGTTTGTGCACATTAACTTGATGATGTTTAAATGAGTGGCCTCAGCTGTCTCGACAAGTTACACAATCTTCACAAACACAGTAAACAAAAAGAGGTAAATTGTGGGGACGTCAAGAGAAAGATAATTCTAGGTTAGAAGGTACCTCTGGGATATTTTTCACTGAGAAGGATCAGTTCAGTTGTATATATAAAAAAAAGAAGAACCAAAACAGAAAAAAAAAAAAAAAAAAAGAAACTGTGATGTGTGGTATTCTCATAAAATCACAGCCAAACATGAGGAGTCAGTCATTTAAAATTGATAATGACTGAACTCCACAAACTTCATATAAAAACGCCCCTTGGAGGCAAACGATTGAAGCAAACCACAGAAAAAAAACGGCATCTGTGGGGGCAGTGTGTGTATGTCTCTGTGTGTGTGTGTGTGGGGGGGGGGGGGGGTAGTATCTTACAACAATTTATTCTTACAGTATGCAAAAGATATATTGTAATTTTTAATTTAGATTTTAATGAAACTTTTCTATATTAACTTTTAGATGCAACACAAAGTAGATGGGCTTCCAGCAATCAGCCCCACGGTAGGTCATTCTATTATTTATGGTCATTTAATTTTTGTCTGCATGCTACATTTACCATTATGAGGTAATGCAACAGTACTTCGAACAGTGACCTTTATTATAGCTCAGGTATTGTAGTTATTTTTCAAATACAGTGATCCCTCACTATACTGTGGTTCACTTTTTGCAGCGTCACTATCGTGGGCTTTTTAAACCCAGTTTTTTATATTGTGTGTACTGTACATGCTGTGCACAATTGTACATTCATCTTATCATCATCATCTTCATCACGACCGCCACAGTGGAGCATATAAAGCATATGAAGTGTTTATAAGAGAGTGGGAATGGGTATTAAGAGTGTGGGAAGGGTTAATAAAGTCTTAAGTATATACAAATAATAAAATAAATATAACACTGCTTCTTCACAGATTTTCACCAACCGTGGGGTTTTCTGGAACGTAACCCCCACGATGGGTGCGGGATCACTTTAAATCACCCTGCCAAGTCAAATGATCTAAAAATAATCTGTTGTTAAGGAGCAATTGTTAAGAATATGTAAAGAAAAACTCAGAATAAGTTAGCTTTTTTTTTATGCTGGCACTCAATATGGAAGTCAGACTATGATTAAAAAAAACATAACACCAGAAGCAATTTTTACATGAAGTATGATGCATCTTCAGTTTTCATGTTGTACAATGAACAATGCTTGTGTAGAAGGTTTGTTTGTTGTGTTGCCACTGACACCAAGTAGGAATAGTATTACAAGTAGTAAGTAATAGTTTATTTTAATCTATCTATCTATCTATCTATCTATCTATCTATCTATCTATCTATCTATCTATCTATCTATCTATCTATCTATCTATCTATCTATCTATCTATCTATCTATCTATCTATCTATCTATCTGTCTGTCTGTCTGTCTGTCTGTCTGTCTGTCTGTCTGTCT